TCAATTTTATCATTGAAATGGCTTTGATAAGAACTAGCTTGGGGCTGTTTGGTTCCTGTTTTTTGGTGGTAAAAGTGGGGAAAGCTGTCAAAAATGTTAGCTTTTTGGCAGCTTTCCCCCAAAATCACCTCTTTAAAAGGTGATTTTGGGAGAAAGCTGTCAAAAAGCTGACATTTTTTACAGTTTTCTTCTTTTTTATCACCCAAAAAAACCTATCCAAACAGCCCCTAGTTACAGATCAATTCCTTTCGGTTCACAACTAAACCAGTTTAGATGTCGAAAATAAATCAAAACAAACGTTTATTTTAACACTATTTTTAATTTGCTAATCAATAAAATACTCTACAACTGGATTAAGTTCAAATCTAACCCAGTTTTAAGGAATTATCAAACACGCTCTTAGAGAGATTATATGAAACACCAAAAGTTTGAAGGGGGACTTCAATTGTGAAGGAAATCGATGACTCCATCTCCATGGAATGGATACAAAACATTTTTTTTTTCATTTCCCTTTGAAAATGATTGAAATGTTTTAGGATTATGATGTCGTCCACAACATTGATTTCAAAAGTTTTGTTCTCTTTTTAATAATTAGTTTGACCAAAGTTTGATTGAAATTCATTAATGAGATCTAGTTCACAGATAGCACAACAGAAGGTTACATAATTACATGTTTAGAGTAGGATTGTGAGCTAGAGATATTACTCCTCTATATACAAATTGGGAGAACCTAAAATTCACTATCCATACTATAGCTACTGCTACAATAACATTTACTATAGTATTATTACTGTAGCATACATGAGACGAGTGATGTATTGTTTTTTGAAAAATATTACTGTGGCACAAATGAACACGGTAGCATTCTAGGTGTTACTGTAGCAGATGTGGAATAGTGTAGCAAACTTGGCATTTAAACCGGATTATTATCGTGGGAAAAAAAAAGATATGCCGTGTTTTGCACGGTGTCCACACTAGTAACAGTTATAAGTTAAAATGTGGTATTGCATCATCTTCTACTTTAATGTGCACGTACCAAAAATGTAATGATTGAGTAGGCCATAGTACCTTATAAGTGTTGGCACAATTGTGACAGACCATTATTATTATTATTATTATTATTTGGCCTCCTTTCATAACTTTCCCCCTTTAGGGTCCTATGTATTTACACTGTACTCCAACGCCAATTCATTTCACCGTTCACCGAAGCTTATTTATTTGCACCAAGTACTATGCACATGCGGTTGCCCAAATTCTAAATTGGTGTAACTAGTGTACGTTCTAAATATAGTTAAAAATATGAAATCACCAATACCGTACAAATACATTCAGAAAATGCATTGTACATGTAGAATATTCTCTATTAATTATACTCCAATCAGCTTTCTTGACGTTCTTGCTCTATGGAAAATCATATATAAGGAATCTAAACGAGGATGCGTATTTTGATATTTGTTCTACTATCAATTCTAAATCTGTGTAATTAGCGTACGTTCTAAATGTAATTAAAAATATGCGATCACCAATACCATATAAACGCAGTCGGAAAAAATGCATTGTACGTGTAGAGTATTCTCTATTAATTATACTCCAAAAATATCGTCTATTTTGTTAAATAGTATTCAGGTGGGTGATAAAGGGAATATCACATGAATTAAGCTCAATTTCACCCAACAAAAAATAAAATTTCAAGTATGAATGTACGGGTGCAATAATAAATCTTGGTTGCTGCGTGGGTATGAATCTAACAATGAAGAAGAAGCAAAGAGGCCCACCAAAGAAGAAAGAGGACAAGAGGGTTGGTGATTATATCAGACTCCCTTTCCTCTGCTCTCCTTTATAATTGTATTCATAGGACTTGTTTGAATCGAGGGCGTTGTCTTTTCTCCTGACAACTCTCATTGGCTGTGAAAAAAATATCAGTGGTAAAAAAGATCACACTCGTAAGTAAAAGATGGAGTTCCAGTACTATCGGTGCGGGGGGTTCTGAGCCACACAAAATGCAAAACAAGAGGCGGTGCCATCATTTCACTACTCTTATGTGTGGTTCTCAGAACCCCGCACACCGCGGGGTTATGATAGGATCTTTAGCGTAAAAAATAGCTTTAACTGCACTTCAATACCCTATAGTTTCCCCTACTTCGCACTGTATGCATCCTCGCTTGTTTTTGGTAACACTTACATTCCTAAAGTGTTTAATACTTACACTTCCATAGCCTAACTTTTTTAGCAGCACCTATACACCCTAAAGTTTTTATAACTTGCGCTTAAACTTGAGGGAATTTAAGTGCAAATTTTAAAAAACTTTAGAGCATTTAAGTGACAATTTTAAAAAACTTCTGGATATTTAAGTGTTGTCAAAATAGCAAGGGTAAATAAGTGCAAGTTTTAACAAACTTTAGGGTATATAAGTGCTAAAAAAAACAAGGGAGGGGAATATAAGTGCAAAGTAGTGGGAACTATAAGATAGTTAAGGCTGAAAGATGCCAACTTTCTTACTATCAATTATAAATACTTAATCCATACAAATAATACCAAAATCAGCATAGTCATCAACTTGTGTGCTTTTGTTTTGTGGGGGTCCTTTTCCTATATGTTTTTCATAGAGGGGGCCTCTATGAGACTTTCTTCCAAATATCATCATTGTTTCTCTTTTCCCTTGTTTTAAAAATGAGGAGCAGAAACGCATGTTGATGCTAACTATTTCTGCATGCAGTTTGTACATAGAACTGGAAATTTAAGTCAACCTCTGTCTAGCAATTCACCTTTTTTGTCAGCTGAAAATTAAGTAATTTCCAGAGGTCAATAATAGAGTTACAAATTCAAATCGCAGTCAGCTGTAAATTTAATATCCTTGAACAATGTACATATATAAATTAAGAGCAATTACAAATAAATATACCCTAGCATCTAACTAAATAGCTAGTACAAATTTGAGCTCATAGCAGTAAGTCCCAAGAAAATGTTATTTCTTTTGACACCACAAGTTTCTATAACCCAAATAGAATTTAAGTAAATATACCAAAAATGAGGACCAAATGCCAACTCTTAGAGATCATACCTTCTTCATGATGAATGTGAACTGCTCTTCACCTATAGCACTCCTGCATCAGCCTTCACCTCCTGCATGGATAATGAATCCATAATTTCCCCTTCTTGAGGTTCCTCAAATCTTTCGGGTTTTATTTCTGCTGATTCATATTGTTTCTCATCTTTGCAACTTCCATTTGTATCAATGGCTGATGCTATCGATTCGTCAGCTTGGGTTTGGGGCTTATTGTTCATTCCAACATTTCCTCGCTCATTCTCATCATCTCCATTGGAAATCATTGAAACTTCCTCCATCTTATCGACAGGATTATGGGGCACATCATTCTCGGGTTTTGCTGATTTGTCGCCTTTGTTTCTTGGAAATTTGCGCTTTGGCCATTTCTTCTTCATATGGGCTTTCTTCGGTTTGAGCTGGTCCGCTGTTTGGGGCCGTGGTTCTTGTTCCTTACCCTTCTTTTTGAAAGGGAGAACAGTGAATTGAGAAGCACCATTTTCACCCTTTGCAGAATTATCTGTCAGAAAAAGGATAGTTGGGCAATGCTTGGACACAAGAGAAGTGTAAGAAAGGAGGATATAATGACGACGACAAAGCCGTTTCCAAATTATTCAGTGCTCGCAATGTGAATTATTCTAAAGAATCAGCTATTTAAATTTTTTTTTTGGCATTGTCTATGCTAATTTCCTGCTATATTCTCAACTAAAGAGCAACACAGGAGAATCTAATAGCAAGAGGGCAAATAAATATTGTCCTCAATTATGATACCATCAACGGGAAAAATTATTCAGAAAATTGTAAGCAAATATAAAAGGAATTCCTTATTTTGTCTTGCTTGTCTTTTATTTGTCTTGCTTGTCTTTTATTTCAATAATTAAACCAATTGTCTTCACTTTATCTATATTCCCTACGAAATGATGGAAAGGAAAAAACTAATACAGGAGAGAGACCATATGAAATCACAAGTTATTTACTTTTAACACCCTCAAATGGGCGTTAATATCTGTTCACCGGAAGAAAACAAGAAACATACAGATGAACTTTCTACAGGCCTACCCTGGTTGTAGGAGAGAAGGAAAGTATGATAATGCAATTCTCTAACTTTTCCTTTCTAAACTGGAAAGGATACAGTTAGTTGAAATGAATATAAAGAATACAGCTACAACTTTGTCATGGTATTTTCAATTTATTTTCAGTTAGCAAACAGAGAGATCATCATTTCCCTTCGGTCAAAGAAAAAATTATTTAAGGAAGACAATTATCTTTAACATACCTCTGATGGCTAAAAGGGCAGTTCTCGCTGCTTTGATCTCTGCTTCTTTCTTCGTTCTGGCCGAAGCACCAATGTATCGGATGCCCCCGATCTCAACAGTACAGATGAATGGTTGTGCTTTCTCTTCCTGTCGGTTGCATTTGTAGGATGGGATTGCATAATTCATCTTTTGAGCATACTCTTGAAGTAGATTTTTGCACAGGCCGCTTTCATGCTGGAGACACAAGAAAATTAAAAGCAGAAAAATAGAATCAGGAAGAGAAACCTAGGCTTTCTTTTTGTATCTAGGAATTTTTCATAATGGAGAGGTAATGACATGATATTACAGGAAACGAACTATTAAATACCATTTCTAGGCAAGGAGTAATAAGCAAATAAACTTCCACCATAAAGCCAAAAGGGCTACAAACAAATGAATCTGATGTGCTTGAAGGCAGAAGCACATCCCAAATGCAAAAATTTTAATGTGAATAATGACACAAATAACCTAGCTAGAAGTCCGACCACATAGTGTCTACTAGCTAAGTGTACAACCAATTTATTCTATGAATTTCTCATAAATGGTCTAATTTTATGAAGCTTAAAGTTTAAAGCGATCCAACTGAGGTTAAAGCTCTCTACTAGTTTGGGAAGTAGTTTAAACCTTCTGAAACAAGAGAGTGTGTGGCAGTTTTACTGGGATAATGTGTTTGTTTGGTTGCAAAATAGTTGAAGTGACATAACTTAGAAGACTCTTAAAAGTTGTAAGGAAAATAAAATAGAGAGCATAATTTTCAGAGCTATGCACAGGGTCAGTTATAAGCTTTACTATTGATAGTTATTGAGGTAATAACTCGACCAGGAGAAGGAATCCAATTCAGTTTAGAATCAGTATTGCAATTTCAATCAAACTCAAGAAGATCCAATAAGAAATAACCACTTCCTAAATTACTTAGAAAACAAAAAAGTAGGCTAAGCAGCCATGTGCTTGAAGAAATATGATTTAGATTGGAATCCATAATCGCTCCAACTCATCTATGACCAACTTGATTCAGGCTTGGATTAGCTGATTCGGGTCAGTATTTGAGTCACCCTTAACAGACACATTAATGTAATAGTAGAAGAACAACAGATAATTGTGTTACTACATTTCGTCCTTCCTAATACCAAGTTTCACAATAAGGAACTAACGCACAAGCATTATGTACAATCCTACTTCGTGGTTGCCACCAATTCTATCCATATGCATAAGGTGAAGTTTGCTTCACTAGAAGTAATCACTGCATGCGGCAAAATTTATGGCTGGTGGCCAAATGACAGTCCAGTCTCATCAACAAATACTCCATGATCTGAATATGAAAAGAAAATACTACATGTATTGCTGCAGGTAAAAAATAAAATGAAGCAGCAACTTGCTAGTCAAAAGTTCTCAATCTTTAAGCATTACAAGTGAAGAAACTGAAGTATACAACACTCTGGCCAAAACTGATCCTGCTTCGCTAAGATATCAATGAAATGCGAAGTTATAAATCCCAATTACAATAAAACCTATGGTACGTGGATGCTTCTCAAGGATTAGTATGCCAATGTTCGTCAACACTGCCATATGCCTACAAATGTCCAGACCTGATGTTTAAAGATTGTAAAGGTTAATTTTCATTTAAGCCTTGAATTTCTTTAGTTTCTTTATGTATTAAACCACTGGCCAAGGAGTTAAATTTCACTGTGATGTGTTAGCTCACTAGTTAGCATCCACCATGTGAACAACACTAACATCGGCTATTCTCTCAATTAGTCAAGACTCAACAAATATATTGTTATNCAATAGTGCCCTAGTGTTTGGATTTTTGAAAAATGTCCATACATTCCATGTCCATAAATATTTGAAGAGCCCATGCTAGATATTTTATAAGAAGAGTAACTCAAAACATATTCCTTCACAGAAAAAAGTTTCTTCATGAGAAGTCATTAAGGTGACAGAACTTACAACTGTAGGGATGCTTTCTGTCATTTGGCCAGACTTGTGTATTTCAATAAGTGCAACTTCAGCAGCTGACTGCTCTGCTGCTTTTCGATTGAAAAACCCAGGTAAAGATTCATATTTGAGATCATTAACGGTCACAGTGGACTTGAAAACAGGCTGATGGGAAGGACCTTCCTTGATAGTATCATATACGGGAGTAGAGATGCCAATTTTTTGAGCATACTCTTGCAACCGGCTTTTGAATACATAGCAATTTCCCATGCCTAGAGATCAAACAAAAAGGTACAGAGACAGATATAAGTAGTGTACCCTCATACATAATCAAAAAATTATGCTCAGGAGACAACTACACAAAATTCAACAGTTCAGTTAAGGAAAACAATAAAACTGACTACGCAGAACCTGTAAATGCAATTATTAAGATTACATATAACCAGGTCTATATCACATCAAAGTACATTAAATTTCTCGATATAATAGAAATCAGTTATGCCTTGAACGAGCTAGGTAGTCATATGTTAAAAATTACTGCATAAGAACAAAATGGCTAGGCTGCATCTAGAAACTCATGAAAATGTAAAGTACTAAGCAAAAACATGAGAAATCTGGAATCGTTTGACTATGGCTTTTCCACGCATAAATTATTCACAATAGCAGACCTGTCATCCTTCCTCTATTTCTAACATCTTTCATAGTTTTGGTCCTTGGAGAACTTTGGAGGGTTGTCGCTTTGGTAGCATGAGCTAAAAGTGCATGATTGAGAAGGTAGGGCTTCCCATCAACCACTCAGCCAGCCATCTAGGGGAAAATGGGTATGCTCATCCGGTAATGAACTGTAAGAGGTGGACTGGTTGTGAGACTCACACTACTGGTCGCATCCACCACTCCTATCTCTTAGTAACTCATTTTGCTAAACGTGTCGCCAACTCATGGTGGTACTCTCATGTGTGCGTCGGTGAGTGCACACGGGCAGGGGGGGCATGCGCGTGCTAAATGTATAAACATATAAATATATAAACATATATGCATCTAAGCATACTTACATGCGTGCGCGCGTGCGTGCACGTTTATGTGTAAGCGTGCATGCATGTGTTCATACAAAAATTGGGTATGAGGGGTCAACTCATTTAGGAACGAGCTGCCGATAACTAGAAGACGTGAGCTCTACATGCTTCGATGTGACTAACAAGATGGATCTCAACACTAGTCTACCCCTTCGCTTGCTCACACGTGTGCGAGCCAGACACATATAGACACAAGTACAAAGCTTAGAAGATGACAAAATTTCCATTTTTTCAAAACCATAAAGCTTCAATCAGCACATAACATACCATCGCTTCTCATCTGGGTAAAACTACTGATCAACCCATGTAAAAAAAACCATTTTTTAAGCATCCCTTGTATAAATTCTCTATTACATTCAGAAAAAATCGAATGAACCATACAAACTTCTCCAATTCAACGGTAAAAGACTCATCATTCTAAAGAGAATTTTACCGTTCGAAGGCGAAGACGGAGGCTGATCAAAGGTTGAAGCAGCTTGAGCGGGCTGGGGTTCTTCCATGGTTCGACGACCGATCAACTGAGGGTGCGAACGAGAGGGTGAACCTTGACTCCCCCCGAGTTAGTGAGGGAGGAGAAGCGGCGGTTTTGTTCAATTCCTAGAACTGCGGCAACAATAGAGTTACCAGGTTCACTGAATCACACACTCACTCCAGTCCCACCACCAGAACCAAACATCATTAAAGGCCTAGACGAGCTGGCACTGCGTTGCAATGTTGGCATTGAAATTTAGGAGGATCCAAGTACAAGAGGAAGGAAATAATACCAAAATAAATTTTTTTATTTCAATGGGATTACGAATTCAAATTGATGGGTTTTCCCCCCCTTTAGGATATTTTCAATACCCATCATCAGAATCGCCTCTAATAAATTTTTATATATTTTTTTAATTCTTATGGTTAGAGCTCAGACAAGCTAAATCCCTAAAACCCTAGCAAAAGAATGAGCGGGTTTGAACAGATTTGAGGCATCTACACGCTACGCAAATTAAACAGTCGACTTAAAAATTTTAATCTCAAAAGAAAACAAAAAAAACCCTAATAAATTCTTACCCGAAGCCTGAAGAGAGATCGCTCAAAATTGTTACCCTTCACAGTCCGAGGACACAGCCCAGCTCGAGATGATACTGGTGAGGAGAGCACGCGCGTTGCACGTGCGCGCTCCCCCCTCTTCAGGTTGTCGCGCGTCGACATTTCTATTTTGGCCCCTCGATTGATAAGCCGTTGCAAATAACTTACGAATTGAGGAGCCCGATAGCACTTTCGATAATTTGTGGGACTAAATCTTAAAAAACCTCGTTAGATAAATTTTAAATAGCATAAGACATCAATGAGACTAATTTCAAAATAATCGAAATTAAGACAATGTGTATGTGTAGAAAGGGAAAAAAACTTTCTCTTTATTTGGTGGCTTATTTTCACTTTGGCACCCTTCAAATTTGGCCGCTTTTTTACTCTGATGCTGTAAAATATTTTCTTCTAAATCTTTGTACTCTAAAGTTTCAATCCCATTTTAATATTTCTTAGGTTACTAAATCTTGGGCTTGAAAACAAAACAATATAATGGTTTAGTAGCATTTCAATATTTCTTAGGTTACTAAAATTTTTTTTTTTTTTGGAGAAGATTAATAAAACTGGTCCCGCGGCATGTTCCGCAAAAAACGCAGAAGTCCTTTGGATTTCTTGCATGGAAATAGCGAGGGTTTAGTTTGCTAAATGAGCTATCAAGAGATAGTCATACAGTAAAACTCGCTTGTTAACTATATCAAAAAGCGTGGAACTTACTTTGTGGTCGATCTCTTGATAACTCATTTTGACAAACCAGTTGTCACCTCAAGCCCGTCCCCATCAAACTCTTTTTATCTATATATACTAAAGTTAACAGACTCAGCATTGTTCCTATGCAACGGTAAATGAAATTTCTGTATATATTGTTCCTAAGCACATTAATCTTGGTGTAAAGCTACAGTAACCAAAATTTCTCTATATGATATTCCTAAGCACAGTAATTTGAGAAGTGGATAGCATGAATTTTGTAGTGGAACTTGGTGTAAAGCTACAGTAACCTAAATTTCTCTATATACTATTCCTAAGCACAGTAATATGAGGGTTGAAGTGGATAGAATGAATTTTTGGTGGATGTTGGTGTAAAGCTACAGTAACCAAAATTCTCTATATATTATTCCTAAGCCCAATAATTTGAGGGATGAAAGTTGATAGCATGAATTTTTAGTGGATCTTGGTGTAAAGCTACAGTGACGTTCAGCTATAACTCTTTACATCAAGTTGTTGTTATGGTGTTCTCGTTCGCTAAAGTGCAACCATTCGCTAGCAACAGACGGGTGTACTTCTGCATGCAATGTCCCAATCAAATTGGTGGCCCAAGACCAATAAGGGTTTCAACTTAGCCGACTCGTCGAGTCGACATTCCCTCATGTCGACTAGAAAGGTGGTACCAGCCGACCTTCTTGTCGAAGAAGACTCGCAACAAGCCCACTCGACCATTTACTCAACGCCTCACGAGGACGACTTGAAAGGCGTTATTTCTCGGCGAAGCTAGAGAAAAACTTCTGCCTCGAGCCTCTCCACCTGACAACGTGTCAGCATCGCAGTTAATGCATGGCAAACGCATCATGCATCTAGCCCCAATAGCCTTCATAACTCATCGGACCACGTAGGCACCGTCATGCTCCCGATCACTTCTCGTTTAATGCCGAAGTGATCTCTCCCCCAGTCATCAGTCGATACATGTAAAGTAGAAGCTGATGCAACCACCAGCCCACACTTCACCATTGTCATCATGTGCTTGACCGAAGTGTCAACTCTACCATTATATGATCAATATATATAGAGGTACTATTCTAACATGGAGGAGGATTCTGATCTTTGATCAAATTTGACCTACGCAATTATTCCACTACACATAAGAACTCAAATAGGTCTTCATTTCCTCCACTCAAGCTCACCAGCTGACTTGATCATCAGAAGAACCACGGGGGAACCAGTCTCCGTCCTCTCACGAGTTTCTACTTGTGCAAGCTTCAGCCACTAACTCAGAATCGGATATTCGGGGAAGAAAACGGCCACCTCATCAACTTCATCACCATCCAACCGCGGATTTAATTGACCGTGTGATCTTAGTCATCAACAGTTGTGTTTTTTAATATTTCCCAAAAAGTTTCCATGTAGCCTTGCTATCTAAAATAATAAGCAAACTATAGCTATGACATATTCAGGAAATCTTATGGGTGTAGTTCTAGCTATGATTTGAATCGGAGTTATTAAAATATATATGAATATCATTTTAGAAGAAAGGGTATGTGAATATCATTCTTTTAATTTATTCCTTAGTTTATGTTTTTTTTGGTGATATATGCTGATTTTAATTGGAGTTATTGATCTGGCATTTTGGTTTGATGATTACAGAAAAGATGGAAGTGTTATGGAACAATGTCTCATGGTGAAAATTTTGAGAGGAGATACAAAGAAGAGCTCCAGATTACCTCAACGGACTCAAGATGAAAATTTGGAACATTTTATTGATAAATTTTTGGTATCTTTGACTTCCATAATTATGAATTCCTTAATTTGGATAATATTGCCTATGGAGATGTAGAATTTGATGTTATTTTGTTTTATTAGGTTCTTATGTGTGAGGGGCCTGAGGGCAGTGTGATAAGCAAAGTATTGATAAGTTAATTATTTTTCCATAACTTTTTTGCCTAAAAATTATATTGTAATTGTTAGGTTGGGTTGGATATTGTTATTCATTTCTACATTTAACTCAAAGAATATATATATAAATATATATCTACATACATATACACATGTATACATGTATATATCTCATCTTTTGCATTTTTTATATATATATATATATATATAAATATATATCTACATACATATACACATGTATACATGTATATATCTCATCTTTTGCATTTTTTTCACAATTTTTAGTTTTTTTAAAAAAAATTATGTTGGATCCAGTTCGTTTGACATTTATAGATCTAATGTGTAGTAGTGAAGTTTGAAGCAAGCAATCGATTGCAAATGGGTGAAATGTATGCTGGATCTATATTGATTATGTAGTTTATGTTGACTAAATATGTGTTGATTAGATCGTAAAGATTAGTAATTTTTTATTTATCAAGTTTTTGGTGTTTTATCTATTTAGTCTAAGGACAGTGATCTCTTTGGGTGAATTTAGACATATATATCATTTACTTCTGTTCATATTGTCCAGGCTACAAAGACAGAACCATTCGAGATTATGATATAAGGGCTCACATATGGAGAGGGAACATCAATGAGACCTCATCCCGAACAAGGTAAGCGAAGCCTCAATCGCTTAGTTATTAGTTATTTGCTCTTATTTAGATATCCCAATACTTTCAAATGAATCTTCGTAAGTATAAATTCTAATTGCCAAATTGTTAACTTGGGCTAATTACCGTAAGGACAATTGTGAAGCTTTTCTTTTATTCGTATTTCCAGCTTATTTTACGCTAATGCCGTGGCAACGCACGGATCAATTTTGCTCGTTTTTTTTATTAATTATTTTACGTTTATTTATAGCAGTGGCAACAGACGGGCCCCGCCGAATTCTTTTTGTAGGTAGCCCCAAAAAAGGTCTATTAATTGCAAAAGTTACCACCCCAATAATAATCATTTGAATAAAACAGAAGTTTTGGGCTTGATTCACCGAATAACAGTAAATAGATAGAATGGATTATAATGATCATCACAAGTTTGTGAGTAATTACAAGCCCATCAGATTTTGGCAGATAATGCATGCATCTGCAGATGTATATGCTTGGTAAAACTTTCACTGGAGTTTATCTGTCAAAATAAAACTATAGCAGTAATAAGTTGGCAAAAAAAAAAAGTTCTAAAAAAATGCGTACGTGCAATTAACCCTAATAAATATGATTCGTGGAAGAGGGAATAATAAAACAAATTTTCATAATAGGCCCCCCTTTTCGCTAATTGACCAGCCTTTTTTAATTGCTTCGAATTTTTTCCGCAATAACTTTGTTTCAGTACCTTTATAAATGAAAATATTCTGAGATATCAGAATAAGAATAAAGATAGCGCAGAATAAGGACAGCATCAGGAATATTGCGCAGTGCAAACTTTTTGCAAACTTTTGCCACAAATAATAATAATGTCAGGGAGAAAAGATTTCACAGAAGAAGTTCTATTCACAATAAGAAACTAAACTGAGGAGAATTCCCTCAAATACCGTGCGCTAACTTCGAAAAAAAAACTCACCTCTTCATAAAAGAATTATGTAAAAAGAAATTACGTAGAGTCAACAATTCTTCTGTATATTGCTATATTGACATTTTATATATTTGCACATAAGAGAATTAGGAGATACAGAGAACCCCGCAAGAAAAAAACGCCCCAGCTTTCACCTTTTACACAATGCAAATGATAAATAAATACAAGATCATTCTGGTGCTCTCAGTGCCGTTTGGAACAGATCTACTGAGAATATACACGAGTTCTCTGCAAAGATGGACGAGCCTGCGGAGGCCTCGAGAGTCTTCGACGTTTCTGGCTGGATTTATTTATTTCGAAGGTCGACGACATCAAATTTCAAGTTTTCGTTCATCAAAACATGAGAGCAGTGTTCATATATCGGGCTGCCATCAGGAGGCTCTTCGTGAGGGTGGAAGCCACGCTCTTGGCAGTTACGGATCACAGACACACCGCCAGGATCTGATAAGTGAAATATGCCTTGGGTTCTGTTCAAGGTGTTGAATACATTGTTTTAGAGACATTGTTCTAAAAAATTATAAATGATTATAAATTGAGAGAAAGCTATACCTCAACATCAGTCTACGATAAAAAAAAATGTTGTAGAGCGGAAATGTTTTGAATTTTCTTTTTCATTTTTTAAGAATGTACCTTGATGTATCAGTTGGTGCCATGACAATTGCAATTGCTTCTGGTAGCATAATCTGTTGACATACATGAACAGATTAAATATCAATTTAGATGCATTACCAAGTCTAAGGCAATAGTCAGCCTTATAGAAGAGCGACATTTTATTACGCATAAAGTGGTTAGTCAGCCTCCCTCATCTATTCTAAAGTATACACAGCAAGATCAACATTCTTGACTAAAAAATAAAGACTAGAAGATAGATCAATCAGATGATATCATGAATACCTTATATTGAAAGGGCGGGGGTGTTCCATATCCTAAAATTCCAGTCTATGCTCGGAAGAATAGAATAAAAAACAGGCATAGTTTCACTCTGAGATCAAGCCTGCCAACTTACTTGGAACATGAGATCTTATCTTAAGCTGCTTTATCTCTCCAAATTTTTGATACAAGTGAAAAAATCAGTTTACCAACAGAGCTTCCTTTCAATTTAAGCAATTAGTTCTTTAACTTGTATGGCGCATTTCGTAGGAACTAGGAAAATTTAAACAACAAATTAAAACAGCGAATATGTTATGACCCTTTGCCTTGTTTAGTATACCCGAAAGTCTGGCTGAGTCATCTAAGAAAAGAACATAGATGGCTGTAGTGGGTCATTATTGTTTTGTTCTTTTTTCAGCTATATAAGTCGACATCTTCACGAGGTTTAATAGAGATGTAACACTATTCTCAGTGGTCAGGATATTCGGATAAACAATAAGCATATCATAAAAAATACATTTCGGTCCAGTTATGCTATAACAGATGTGTTGGGTGTACTGCTGCTTACTTCTATTATGTTATACAAACACCAGAAAATGGAAAGCAGCACTAGTCAGGAACCTGCTAATATACCCAAGCCAAGCTAATGTTGGGAAAAAAATGCATCAACTAGATCACATTTTCAGGACAGTTTGACAGGTTAGCAGAAAGATGACTATATAGCTCTTTTTAGAAAAGGTCTGGACTTGAAACTTCATTTTTAAGAAAGAGTGAAAACGTGTGAACAAACTAACTTTCTAAGATTACGTGTGAACAAAACATATCGTCAATAGTTATGAATTGCACTGCTTCGTAACATTCTAACACATGATCATCTTAACTGACTTTAGGTGTATAAAAGTATTCAAGCTCTTCAAGGAAACTGTGAAGAGACTATGAAGATGTCGAGAAGTATACATCTCAGTTACTTGCAAAGGTTAGCAGCTAGTTTACTACTTGCTGCTACATATAGAATTTGTGAAGAAAACTCTTGGTTGTTTGGAAACTCAGCCTCACTATGCTGTTAACAGGTGCATCGATGCTAATCACAGTAGAAGATGCTAAAAGCTTTTTTGGTCGTATAGGGAAATTTTGTTTTTAGTTCTTGATCGCTGTTATGCTGCAAATAGAAGGACACTTTGTTTGGGATTTATTATTAGTAGAATGTATTGGTGATGTTATAATAATGTCTTTAGGAAATCTTATGATTGGTATTTGAGGCTTCTTTGCTTTAGAGGGAAAGATGCTTGGTTTGATTTGTTTAGTTTGTACATAGCATCAGTGAATTGCGTATGCCCAGGTTACTTCTGCTGTTTACCAGGGCAGTTTTTCATAATTTTTTTATTTGGATATATTTACAGGACTTACAATTGAGCTGTTATTTACTTATATCTACAGATTCACCATGTACATTCTTATATGTTTTTCATATATTTAGATCATATCTTCATTTTTCAAAAGGTGGTTTTAGACTCATCTTTTATTTATTTCCAGGCACGGTCAATGCCCGTGCTATGCACGAGACTAAATACTAGTACTCTTTTTATGCTAAAAACAGAAAAAGGTACATAGGTCACAGCAAAGATGACAAGTAGGCGGAAGTTGCAACCACAATCATCTCTATACTAACTACAAGAGAACAATCCATATCTTGGTATGAAGATTTAACTTTTGGGGGAAAAACTTAAGATACCCTAAGCATATTAAAAGCTGAAATCAAACAGATTGATGAATCAGTATGACTCCTGAGTTGGCAACAGGAAAAAAATGTTTCTGGAAAACAAAGGAACAGTTATATAGCGTTTGTTCACCTGATATGAATAATGAGTGTGCAGATCAATCGATGACATGAAGCAGGTTTGTGTTGGGTGCGTCTGCAAATGGAGAAATATTGAAAACAAAGAAAGAAAAAGGATTAGATAGCTGACGATCCGACAGTTGAACAGTTGACAAATATGCATTAACGAATTCAGGGATAATACTCAAAACATATTTTTGAAACAAGAATATATTACACCTTAACCTCTTCTTCCACGTGCGTGTGTGTGTTGCG